AATAAACTATTTGTAGGGGACCAGAAGTTAGAGATTACAACGAAGGGACGACTCCAAAGGTACACCTTTTTCATAATTTGGTGTTTTAGGTTTGCTCATCCGCCTCCACCCCCAAATCAAGATTCCCAATGGGATAACGGATTGGCACGCACTTTTGTAGGGTCACGACCACAATTTGCCTCGTTCTCAAGTGAGTTCTGAAAATCATTGGTTAAGAAAAAGAACGAATTTGTCGTGTATCAAGGAATGAATGAAAAGCTGTAATGAAACATATCCTTTGTCATACTTGTGTCAAACATGTTAAAGTTTACGAAGAAATATTCAATCACGTCTCTACTTTTTTGCCGCTAAAAAGTATTGTTGCGTTATAAGCAAATTCCTCCCTCACAGCATACCGAATGTTTCCTACAAAAAAATTTCTATTAGAAATCTAACTTTGCATTTTTTTGCAGATAACAACTCATCTTCACGTTCTTCATCGCAGATGAATGCAAATTTACAGGGGAACAGATGGGGATTGAATAGTAATCGTTCTAGTCTCTCTGGATCATCACAAGTAAGATCCACAAAAATGGTGAGTCGAACCATTACTCAAATGCTGATATAAGCTTATTTGCGTTGAATTATTGATAATTCAACATTCACACAGTCATTCTGCTTCAAGAAAGTCTGAATATCATGTAAAATGTGTTCGAAAGAGTATATGATAGAGCTTCATTTTTCTACGTTCTCTCAAACGCTTGCACTAGCGAAGCAAACTAACTGAACTTTGATGAGAACAACTTCTCCTGTTATCACCTTTCGACGTAATTGTACACATGTCTAAGCCAACTTTGCATAAGATATAAACTTATGGAGTACTACATTTTTATATTTTCGCCTTTAGCCGGCAGCATGCGTCGGCAGAGTCCCATGTACCAGTGAAAATATTGCGGAATGCAAATCATCCGTCAACATCACTTCACTGAAATCATGTCTGGGACAGGGATCACGTGGAAACTAGAGTCTTCTTTTGTCTCTGTTAAGTTTTTATTGATATTATTTCCCTACGGCATATTTCGATTTGTGTTGTCGCGAGTTTTAGTGGATGTTTTATGATGCATTCGAGTTCACGTTTTAGTGAATTTGTTGAAACCACTAGTTGTTGAGTTCTTTTACATGTGGGTATCTTGTAATTTTGTATCTTGGATTTATATTTTGTAATTTTACTTTTAATATAAGAATCGAGATTGATCTTCCCCTTCTACTTGTCTGCGATTGAGAGAATTTTCTTTTATGAAATTACTGTGGTTCTCCTTTAATGTTTCATGCGATAACGTTTTTACTACTTAGCGACTACGAATAGGCTTTGAGGCTTGGGTTTTTAACCGCGTTCTTTTATTTTGTACTCTAGCTCAAACTTGGATCGTTTACATTGTTCTGAACGCAGCTAAATGCGATAGGAGTTTATGAAACGATTTCTCTTGATGAAGCAACAAGACGCTTGTATTTTGGGGATGTTGTCTGTTGTCAACTCGTTGTAGTTGGAGAATAAAATCAAAAATCAAGTTGCTTGTTTGATGAGCCGATATTGTTCCAGTTTGTACTAATTATGGCAATATAAAGATTGCATGATTTTGACTATGGTGTCAATCACGACGTTGGAAGCGCCAAACAGCTTCTCTAGAGCAATATATCACTGAACTATCTTAGACATACTAACAGCTTAAACGGAGTCTGGATCCTAATCTACTTTTACTGCCTCATAAGATGACTCCATAGGGAGTTCAAAGTGTACAGTATAATAAAGTGGAGCACGCACTCTATTCAATACAAATGCTCTTTATTTTGGCGTGTTATTATGGAAGGCGATCGAGTGCAACTTGTTCCTGCTGTCAGTATACATGCACGGTATAACACGACAAAAATATACTTTCATAAGCATTTAAACTTTTCAAAGCAAAAAAAGAGATTACCCCTATTTGTTAGCTCGATATAGTGGGTGCCCTAAGCAAAATAGGGAAGGATCTGCTCCTTATCGCCAGGAAAGGAAAAGGTGCTAAGAAAGAGGAAGTGGCAAAAACTTGCAAGCG